AGCTGTGCATGGAGGTAAAGGCAGGGAGCACATGGAAATGCTCTGCACTTTCCACTCAGTTTTCCATGAACCAAAAACTTTTCTAGAACACAAGATAGTGATTAAGCACAACTACTACAATAGCTTACTGGAGAATGTTTGAAAAATCACTTTGGAGTGCAGGAAATATAACTAAAGAATCAGAACCCATACAGAATAATGACTATAGGCAAACAAAAATATTACAATTGTAAGAAGAATTAAGTCAAAATTATAGATTGAATTGTGACATTTATCATCCAAGGGTGAATTAAGACATTATTTAATGGGTATAGTACATACAGTTTAACAGAATGGCCTTTAAAAAGGACAAAGAATGTCTTTGCTTACTATGAAGGGCCAATCTGGAAGGTGTATGAAAAGGAACAAAATTGGCTGCTATCTGTGTAGAAAAGCCTATGAGATGGAAAAATATGTGTTTTTCACAGATGTGTGTGAACATGCACATGCACAGATGTGTGCACACGAATGCCAGATATGTGCACAGCACATATGATCAGCTGCCTCTCAAGAGAACATTGCAGCTGGTCACAGGTATGGCAGGAGACTCTTCTCTATGCATTGTTTCTAAATTTTGAATGTGAGAATGAATATATTATCATTCTACAATATAAAGTTTAAAATCACAGCAGAGTGTAAAGCCTGTATGGACATTCTACAGCTTTGAATGATTATGCCACGTCTACGACGGCTTCTCTTTCAAGTTCACCTACACCTGTCTGTTTTGATCCACTCTCCAGCCCCACCTGGAGTGCCCAGCCCCTCCCTTCCCAGTGACGGTGACCCATGTATGATCAGTGCATCAGAGTCTGTTGGATTGGCTGGCCATTATTTTAAATTATATTGGACCAAGATCCTCATTAATACCCAAATGTGAAACCACCTGCACTTTTTCTCTTTTACAAAACTGCATATGCATTTTAAATTGAATGATGCATTTTGAAAGCTATTATCTAGACTCCCCTCTCTTTAACCAGTATCTTACATCATCCTTTCTAAGATAAAACAATTATTTTTAATATCCTGCCACCAGTGGTGGCTTAATGCAATTATTATTCATACATTTTTTCAACCAAGAGCTATGAAGATGTCAACTAAGGTTTAAGATCATTTACAAATAACATAGAAGGGCTGAGCAAGTAGCTCAGTGATGGAGTGCTTTCCTGCTAACTGTACATTCAATTCCCAGCTGAACTGGAAAGAAGTAAATACACAGGAGCAGAGTAAGACAAAATACTATTCACTGACACATAACAGTGAATTAGAAATTGTGCTCAGGGATAGATGGTCTTTTAAACTTCTAAATTTGCTAGAACAGTTTCTCTAGCAAACTTATTATTCTTTTAAATGATAGACATGGTGCTCTGTTCCCTTAATTTGTTGTATGAAGCTCATTTTTTCTGAACCTAGGGTCAGTATATAGCAATTCTTCCGAGAACTCAAGCTTTGTACTTATAATGGTTATGATTTCCAGGCTCATATGCATCTGCCACTAGCATCTCATGTTGCCTGAATGTGAGGGAATTACACAAGGAGGAGTGTGTAAAGCTGTGCTAATTTCTTCATAGAGATCTACCCAGTGGCTTGTGAAGTGTTCATGCTGTAATGGAAACCTGATTTATATCAGTGCTTACTGTTAGCTTGACATCATCACTCTGATAAGGCTGAAGATGCCCTGAAGATACTTTTAGTAGACCTGTAACAAGAATGCACTTGGACACATATGCAGTTCTGACAGGCCCGCTGAAGTGCAGGAATTTGTTTGGGGTTTTCCAGAATCAATGTCTTGATCTAAAGTAATAAGTGCTATATAACCTTTTCAGAAATAATAGGATTTGCTACTAGAAAATGACTCAAGCAAAAAGAAATACTAGGAGGTCAACTCTTAAGATGTGCACATTGTTTCAATGAGGAAAGAAAATGTCTCTTGGTGAATCTGATAGCATCAGAGTGAGGTTTTGGGGAGAGGGCTGCTTCCATGTGAGTTTGGTCCTCCACCCTTGCCTTACAAATTGATTCCTCCTTGCAGGTGTGTGTGTGTATGAATTACATAAGCTATGATTACAAACAGTGAAATTAACAGGCCTTAATCGAGCAGTTCATTGAAGTGCCCACGCACATACACCTACATGGGACACTGGCAACACCTTCCAAGTCTTGCTGTGGCCTTTAGGAACTGATCCTCATCAGTCAGTTTTGCCTGTTCTTATTTTTAGAAAAATGGGTTGCCAAGGAAGTCAGAGTCCTATGATTTTCCCCTTCTTGCATTTTAATGAATTTGTATGTCTTTAATCTCTACCAGTTTATTCCAGTGACCCCTCAGAGGAGAGAGGAGAAATCTGCCTTTGCCTCTGCACCATTCTTCAGTCCTACCTATGTCTCCTAAAAATAATTTACTCTTTCTTTAAAATTGCCTGTGGCCTCTACTTCTTCTCTCCTATGAAAAAGAGTCTACAAATAAATGAAAATGTAGAGTGTACTATCAAATGACATCTGTGAGGTACAAAACTGTACATACAGGTTGATTATAATAATGATGAGGGTAGGTGCATACATGTATGTTCGTGTCTATGCTTGAAAGTGTACATAGCCTTTGACTGCATTATATGTTTAGGAATTTAAATAAAAATGATTTAATGTATTTAAAGATCCATCTAAAGGATAGTAACCATAGCATTGCTCATGATAGCAAAAAAAATCAGACAGAGCTTAACTGTTCAAACATTCTGCTTGGGTAAATTTAATCACAGTAGACCATAGGATGGAAATGTGCTGTCATAAAGAAATAATTAATCAAAGGGTAAAATGTTTATAACCAGGTTACAAAATCAATCCTATTTTTTTTGTAAATAATGATTTATGTTTATACCCAAACCATATTGAGAGAGCTGTAGAAGATTTGCCAAGTAGTCATGTTTATGTCAGAATGGGATAAACTTTGTTTTCTCATTTTTGGTTCTATTGTTTCCATAGAATCATCTCCAATAACAATGCATTATTTCTGAAATAAAAAAATAATTTAAGATCAATCCTATTTGCATAAATATAAAAATATAAGCATTGCAATGTAAATAACGCCTTTGTGAGGGGGCTAGGATTGTCCCAGATTTTTATCTTCTTTTTTGTTATCTACTTTACAGTTTTCAGTAATGTGGTTCCATAGTAGAGATATAGTAATAAGGACGAACTGAAATAGGGAATGGCTTACAGTGAGTACACAGAGAGCAACGTGATGCTTCTGGAGTAGGCTGGTGAATGTCAAAGACCGAAAACAAGTCACAGCTGTCTGTGGCAATGCTGTTTAGGGTTTGAGGTTCCTTGAGGGTGATAAGAGATTTCTTAGATAATATTTGTGTCACCAGTGTCACACCAGAAAGGGTTTTAAAAGTAGAACACCTTACCTAAGAATGGCAGAGAATCTTTTGTGATCATCTTATTGGTTCTCTTTTAAGCTGAGCAGGGCTCATAGACCTGTGCTAGTTTGTTAGGGCTGCTGTAACAAAGTGAATGTCCCAACCACACAAATTTATTATCTCACCTCCCTAGAGGCCAAAAGTTCTATGTCAAGGTGTTAACAGAGCTAATTCCTCCCCAGAGCTGTGAGGGAGAATCTGTTCCAGACCTCTCTGGTTTAAGTGGTCAGCTTCTCCTTGTATTTTCACCTGTCTTCTCTTTGTATGTATCTCGGTGTCCAAGTTTCCTTTTTTTGTAAGGACACTCATCATATTGGGTTAGGGCTCCGTTTAAGTATAACCTCATTTTAATTTAATTACCTTGTTTTAGAAACCAAATTTCCAAATATAGTCACATACTGAGGCACTGAGTATTAGCATTCCTACATATAAGTTCTGGGTGACACAATTCAATCCATAAAAATACCACTCTTATTTGAGGTGTGTATATGTTTATAGGTTCAATTTCTGAATGTTATGGCCATGACTTATGATCAATTTAATGTCCTCATTCCCAAACATTTGGTTCATGGAAATGCCAAGTCCTGTGGTTACTGTATGATGAGACTTCTGATGGGACTGTATCATTGCATCTTGATTTTTATTTCTATACACAAATTAACTCCTCACAGAGATAGGTTCTTAGCAGCTGACTGGCAGGGCTTTGGGGACAGGAGGGACTAGAACCATTGGGAGGAATACTCATCTCCAGATTGAAGCCTGACTTGACAAAGACATTGCATGTGAAACATAGTAGGTAACAACAACTGACACTTTACAAGAAATAACCAACCTGATTTCCCCTGTGTGGTGCTCAGTGATGGGGCTGGGACATGCCTGGAATGAGCTGGAAAGTTCCTGGGAAAGCAGGGCACAGCAGGATCATCAGCTTCCAAGAAATGGGTGATTCTTTAGAGATGAGATAGACCTTACAGATGAACTGGTTGGTCCTGTTCCCTCATTTCTGATAAGAAAATAATGCCAATAATGAGACAATGTCCATTAAGTGCCCATTTATTGGAATAAATGCCCAATAATGACAGAATGGTTAAGTGTAGTAGAATGCTTATACAGATATGGTATAGTACTTCCATACAAGAAAGGATGGAAATTCACTCTTAGGTACATAGCGAAGAGGATTAACATTTGTGTACACAAAAACTTGTACACATTTAGTCATGGTAGCAATTCTCCTAACAGCATCCACATGGAAATAACTCTGATGGCCTTCTTATTCTGCCATAAAGAAGAATGCAGTTCTTCTGATACATGTTAAAACATTATGCCAAGTAAAATAAGCCAGATGCAAAGGCTATATATTGTATGAACTATGGAAAATTTATATGAAATATCCAGAATAGACAAACCATAGAAACAGAAAACAGACCAGTGGTTGACAAGAGTAGAGGGGGTGGGAGAGTGGGGAGTGGTTTGGGGCTTCTTTTAAGGTGAAGTTTTTTTGTGTTTGTTGATTGATTTTTTTGGTGCTAGGGAATCAACTCAGGACCTTGGGCTTGAGAGGCAAGTAGCAGAACAACTGAACTAAATCCCTGACCCCTTAAGTTGAAGTATTTATTTCATGATAAAGATATCCCTCTGGATTCTGGAGAGATGACCCTTGGGGACCGCGGTAATGTGTGATGGAATAGAGGTGGTGAAGGGACATAAGGAGTACATGTCAGAAACCAAGAGTCTGGATTGCTGGAGGGTGAGATAAGCCAGCCACGTGAGTGCTACTCAAATCACCTAGGAGGAGAGAAATAATTAAGGAAAGAATGTTAATCTAGAGCTAGAGTGTTCCATGAACAAAGAGGAGAGGTGAGGAAGTCAGATAGGGTCAGTAAAGCCCTGCAGTCGGGGTGACCCTAATGAATAGTGTCTCATTCTAGACTGTGAGCTCTCCACATATGGTAGAAAAATGGGCTTCTAAGGATGTGCGAGTCCCTGAAACTATATGAAAAGTTTACACGTGCATGACTAATGCCGTAGTGTGGATCTTGAATGTCCTCTGAAGGTGCATGTGCTAAAGGCTTGGTCCCCAGATTGTGGTGCTACTGGGAGCTGGCAGAAGTTTTAAGAGATGAGTTGTAGTGGAAGGAAGTCAGGTTACTGTTAGTGTTCCCTTGAAGCTAATTGGAACTCAGGCCCCTCCTCTTCCTTTCCCTTGGCTTCCCCACCACCATGAGGTGAGCAGCTTTGCTCCACCATGCACCCCTGTGATGTGCTGCTCCACCGCAGCTCCAACAGCAGTAAGCCAACTGACCATAGACTGGAACTTCTAAAACTGAGCAAAAATGAACCTTTTCTCTTTTTTGTTGTTTATCTGAAGTATTTGATACAGTAATGAAACAGTGAAATGATGATGAGTACAACTAATGTGTGTGTGTGTGTGTGTGTGTGTGTGTGTTTCCTTGAGAAGAGAGCTCATGACTCATCGGATTTTTGGCACATGAGGTATAGTAAAGAAAAAAGCCTAAGAATCAATGTTTTCAAGGCCTGTGTGAGGAACAACTCAACAAAGACAGTACAAATTACACATGGATGTAGGGGAATCATACAGTTCTCAGTAAAGCCCAGAGTCTCCTCACATCTTCATCAACCCCCATGCAGAGAGCTTTTGGGAGCCTCTGGGTGTCAATGGGGATCCCAGGGCAGGGTTGGTGAGGGTCCTGCAGGACAGGGGTCAGAGATGACAGAGGCTCTGGAAATCCATGGGGCAGGCTCCACTGGGCTGAAGAGCTCGCTGATGTCTAGCTGGCAGCTGCTACCTATGTAAATGCAAATAATTAAGTGAGCTAAATGGCCTAGTAGCCACCATTCTACTTTGTTTCTACCAGTTTGACTTTTTAAGATTCTACGTATAAGTGATATCATGCAATGTTTGTCTGATTTATCTTAAATGTTCCCACTATACATCACACACACACACACACACACACACACACACACACACACACACACACGGAGTAACAATGGGAGATGATACATGTACTAACTTGATTGTGGTAATAATTTCACAATGTATGCGTACATCAAATCACATTGTATGCCTTATATTTATGCAATGTTATCTTTCAGTGATACCTCAGTAAAAGTTGAAGGAAGAGTAAAGGATGCCTAGCTTTCATAAATAGTTGCTTGCAGACTGTGGAGAGTAGTCCTGGACATTTTCCCCACCCTAGCTGCACTCAGCTTGGGTTATGAGGAACATGGCCATTGAGGCCTGTGCACACAGTGTGTGTGCTGAAACATCAAGCAGACCTCACCAATATGCATGATTATATGTAATAATAAAAAACCAAAAAAATAGGAGCAACTGACCACCACCATGCCAACTTTCTTAGCTCAGAATCTTGCATGAATTAATAAAGGAAAAAATGAGGTAAATCTTACAGTTCTTAAAAATAGTAAAGAGCACATAAAGGGTATTCGCTACTGCAGTTCTACAGGTCACATGCATTGCTCAGAAGTTAATGCTCACTTAGCATATGGTATAGGCTGAACCTCCGGTTATCCATCTATCTCCTGTTTTCATTAATCCAAAGAATTTTCTGACTATAAAATAAATTCATGCTTATAGAAAATGTAGAGCATGAGGGAATATATAAAAATTAAACTATAGCTCTAAAGAAGGAGAAAAGATTGAAGTTGTATATAAAAGTCTCCAACTTTACAAAAGAACAATACGGATGTTGTTTCTATGACTAGAACATGGACTGAATGGCACCCACCCTCCAGGGTCTTGACCTCACCAGCCTAGGGCAGAAATGAACTTCTATGGGGCCACTCTTTCACCTCAGTGTTGATGGGTCTGGGCTGTCACCTCTGGCTGAGGAACTGTATTGCCCTCAGAGATATCTGAGTGTGGCTAAGAGCTCAGATTTCCTCAAGAATGAGGACCACAGGTCTCAGGCTCCGAACTGCTGCCCCCAACCTTATGCCTGAGAGGTGCCCAGTGAGGCCAGCTGTCCTTTGCTCCTTGTGTGCAAAGCTGCAGTGTGGGGCCTGAGCCTGGGGGAGGGAGGCCCATCCCACCATCCTTTCGCACCCTGCAATAGGACTCCATTGAGTCTGCCCTTGGGCCAAAGCCAAACCTTCCTGCATATCTGTCCTGCAAAGTGATACCCAGAAGGGCACCATTCTGGGACTGTGCAGAGGGAAAGAGCAGGGTACCCAAATATCACACCCCTGCCCCACTCCTGCTGGTGGGGCTGCAGTTAATGGCATCATTCCTCTTAGATATCTCTCTGTGTTTTCTGAACCTTCCACAATGCACTTTAAGAATCATGATTTTTAAAAAGTCAAGAACAAAAAGTTACCATAGTACACTTTTTAGTAGGATGGTTGGTGAAATTTTTTTCATTTCAGAAATTTCCTATCATTATGTAGCTCTTTTCAAACCTTGGCAAGGAGACAGGAATCAAGTGGACTTTGGATGAGTTTGTTAATTCTGGAAATGCTCTCCCCAGCAGCTTTCATGCTCTGGAGGTGAGATCACTGATGTAGTAGCTGAGTGACAGGTATCTCCTTGTCTGTACTGGCCATGGGCTCAGCTTGATGTTCTGCAGAAGGCCTGGCACTGGGCTCTCTCCTTCATCTCTGCATTCTCTCACAGCTGAAATGGCTTAAATGAAACAAAATACCTAATGTATGAGTCAGCGTTTTTTTGGTAGAATGGACCCCAAAAGATGTATATATTTATACACAGATTTGTTTAAGGCATTGGCTCAAGTGGTTATACAGATTGGAAAGTCCATATTCTGCAGCTGGAAAACCAGGAAAGCTGAGGGCTTAGTTTCAGGACAAGATAGAAGGCTGGAGAACCAGGACACCTGAAGGTGTAACTCCATTCTGAAAACTCAAGATCCAGAGAGACCTTGCTATAGTTTGGATCTGAAATGCCTGCAAGGTGTTGAAGCCTTGGTCTCCAGCCCAGCCCTGTTGAGAGGTGATGGATCCTTTAGTGGGAGGTTTTAGGTCATTCAGGGCATGGCCTTGAAGAGGGCTGTGAAATCTCTGTCACTTCTGCTGCCTCTGTCTTTATTCTTTTTCATTTTTTGCTTCCTTGTCACCATGAGGTGAGCAGCTTACTCCCGCATTTGCTCCTCCTGTGATGTGCTGCCTTGCCACAAGCCTTAAAGCAACGAGCTCACTTGATCCTAGACTAGAAACTCCAGAACTATGAGCCAAATTAACCTCTTAACCTTATAAGCTTATTATCTCAGGTGTCCTGTTACAGTAATGGAAGGATAATGAATGCAAAGCTGATGTTTCAGTTCAAGTTGAAAGGCAGGAGACAAACCAATGTTCCAGTTCAAAGACAGGCAGAAGGAATCCATGTGGCCAATTAAATCTTGTAACACATAGCTGGATAATTCTCTTTTGTGGAGGTGGCCAGTCTTTTTGTTCTATTCATGCCTTCAGCTGATTGGCTGGGGCCCATCCCATTAGGGAGGGTGATCTGCTTTACTCAGTCTACCAGTTTAAATGTTCTGCGAGGAACACCTAGAATGGCATTTGACCAAATTTCCAGGCACCTCATGACTCAGCCAAGTTGATACATCAAACTAACCATTGCACCTTGACTGAGCAACATAAGCTACCAAGTGCAGAGGACACTAGAGGCTGTTTGTCTCTGTTCAGGCCAGAGCTGTCTTTGGGGTGACGTGGGTAGATATTCTTCTTCCCATGGTCACAGAGGAAAGATGAGTATGGGAACCTGAGTGTCCTCCTGTACCTGATGCATCCACTTTGGTATCATGCGTCTGGAGATACCCACACCACTTTCTTTTCAGAGGCTTCAGTTAGTGAATATTTCTGCTTTAGAGGGCCTCCTGCATATGCCATTTTCCCTAATCTTGCCTTGTGGACTTTCCTATTTTCAGTCTACAGATAAGAAAACTGGAAACTTAGACACATGAAATGATTTGGCCAGAACAACACAGTCTGGAGCCAGAGCTCCTATAAGACTGTGGTGTTTTCCTGAGCAAAGAAATACACAGCTTTGCTACCACCTGTGTGGTCAGATGTGAGCTGCCTCTGTGTGAAGGTGCTGCAGACACGCACCAACACCGAAGGAATTTATTTTCCTCAGAGCTGTGGTTTTTCAGTTGCAGCATGCATAAGCCCATGGCGCCAGCAACACGGCATTTGGCAGGCCTCCTTGAGTGTCTTCTGAGGAAGTCCAAGTACAATCCTGAGAGATCCTGCAAATTCAGAGCAAGGCACTTCCAACTGATCCAAGAATCCAGAACACCACTGAAACTAGATGTTTCTGAGCAGCCAAACTAGCTTGACAAGGGTTTCTTAAAAAGCTTTGCACTTAACCCCTGTGGTATTTATTTAAGAAAGTGGACTTTCTTCCTAATGGATGATATAGACATTCCTCCCATAAAATTCACTTATGTATAGACATATTGCTCCCTGGCAAGCTGCAAAGCCTTTGCACCAGTGTTCAGTCACACATTACACTCAGAGAATGTCATTAACATCACTGAAACTGTCTGGGAGGCACCCTAGAGTTCCTCCCCATCCTACCGCCCTCCCAGAGTGCTCAACTTGTCCTTGTGAGTCTCTGGGAGGGACACCAACACTCTCCCCAGATGGCCCACATACCTCGCTGGGGGCGGGGACTGCCTTGCACAACATGTGAGGGTCTTTGTGACCAGATTTACCTCAGACTGTGAAAGGCTGGTTTGCTAAAGCTTGAAGAATGATAAGCAAGGGCTGGGGATTTAGCTCAGTTGTTCTGCCACCCGACTCGAAAGCACAAGGACCTGAGTTCAATCCCTGGTACAAAAACAAAAGAATGATGAGCACAAGAAAAGTATGTCTCATTCTATTAAATATTTAACATCTATTTTATGATTTGCAGGCTCTCTGACAATCTTACCTGTGACATTTTTGTTGATAGCTCTACGGGAGTTTTTTTTTCTCCATTCCTAAGGTCAAAAACACAAACACCAGCTTGTCTCTGAAAGATGATCTGGGTTACACATATTAAAGTAGAATGCAGAACACAAAGAGTTTCCCAGGGAAAGAATGCACAGAAAATAAATAGAAGACGAGAGCTTTGTTTCCCAAGATTATTTGCAAATATAGAATGTCCCCTGCTGCAGGTTCTGTCTATTGCATTATCGCAGAAGTCCCTGAGAAGCCAGCTTCCCTGCAAGTTTCATCCATTCTGGAAATGCCAAGGTACTTTTGTAATATGAGCAAATACTAAGGTATTCAAATAATTTATAGTTTTAGTCTTATTTCTCCAGGAACATTTAAAAGCATTTCTAAGTGGAAATACTCAGGCTATGGTTTCCCCAAGCTTCTTCAATGTCTTTGGAAAGACTGATTTGAAGTGGTTCTTTAATTGTGGGTTAGGTCACTGCAGGAACCCGAATGTCAACTCTAAGCAGACAGCCCTCCCAGATAGGAGCTGCCCAGCTGCTTGGGAGGGAGAGACAAACCTTGAGGGCAGTGGGGAGCTGAGGGCATCTGGGAGGCCTTAGGACAGGAGGATCACGCAGATGGAACTCCCAGCTCCGAGGACCAGGGTTTACTCTGGTTGAAAGACATTAGCTGTGTAGCTTTCAGCAGATCACTCACCCTGTTCAATTACCAAAGTTGTCTTTTACAAGACTAGAACAATAAAATTCATAATACATGAGGTGGGATCAAAACACATGGTGAAGGTTTAAATTTAAGAATTGTTACAGTAAAAGACACATTGGCATTCATCCCCCTTAAAATACCTCTCCTTGCTTCAAGTATACTTATCCCGTCATTCTTGTCACTTTGTGAAGCAGTTTTGGAAGTCCTCTTTCCAGAGTGTCTTTATATACAATCACAGGTATGGTGAACGCTGCTTCTGTGTGCCATCCCATGGAAAGGCAGGCCCATAAGTGACCATAAAAGGTAGATGTTTTGAATCAATTCAGGACACCAAGGCAGCCATAGCAGCAGAATAAAATGATGCAGCTAATTCACTTGGTTTTATGCCAGGTTGAAGTAAATGCTATGAAACTGTAGCTCTGATTACCCTTGACAGAATGATCATTTAAACCTACTGAACCTTGGTGTCCTAGACGGGGAAATGGGAATAACAACTGGAAAACCTGTGTGTGAATCGTGTGGCCATGGGAGGTTAATATTGTCACCATTCATCCGCATCGCCACACCCTACTGTAAGACTTAGTGGGTATGCCCTGTGGTGTCCCTCGTTCTATGGGGCTGGAAACTTGATATTCACCGCTAGAAGTCTTCCCATGCACTTCCAGGGGATCTTCTGATTGTTATGTCTGCTCAGCTCTGAATGGCTTTTCTTGCCACAATTGAAGATTCCTCAAAGTGGTGAACCCATTTCTAAACTTTCAACCACTTCAGTATACTTACAATGGAATAATAGGAGGACATAAAAAGAGAAAATCCCTGTCCTTTCCAGCAAGATGGATGGAACTGCAGGATATGATGCTAAGTGAAATGCACCAGGCACAGAAAAGTAAGCATGGCTCACTCTCACTCATTTATAAAATCTGACAAAGTTGATTTCAGAGATGTGGAGAGTAGAATAGTGGTCACTATAGGTTAGGAGGGCAGGAGTGGCAGTTGGAGAAAGGCTGGGTAGTGGGTACCAAGACACAGTAGTGTGGGAGTAGTAAGTTCTAATATACAGTGAGGAGGTATTCATAGTTTATAATTCACTATATTTTTTGAAGAACTAGGAGAGAGAAGTTCAAAGTTTCCTAAAACAAAGAAATGATAAATGTTTAAGGTGAAAGTAATGTTAATTATCTTGGGTTTTTAGAGACAGGAGTTGCTACATAGTTCAGGCTGGTCTTGAAACTACTATCTAGCCAAGACTGACCTCAAACTCATGGCAATCCTCCTGCCTCGGCCTCCCGAGTGCTGAGATTACAGGTAAGTGTCTTTATAACTGCCTACCCTGTTTTTTAAAAAATTAGATATTCTATACATGTATTGGATTACATTGTATCCAATAAATATGTACAATTATTACATCAATTTAAAAGTGAAAAATCACACAGACACAAAAAATTCATTAAGGCTATTTTGAAGTAAACTTAGTCAAAATCCACTGGCAATTCTAATTCTTAGGTCCATATTTTGTTGTTAAAATTCTGACAAACATTACAAAAATTATGTTAAGAATTTAATGATGAAAACCTGAGTGAACCTCATCTTTCTCTAACAAGCGATTTGTGTTGGTCTGCATGAGTACAATTGTAGATTCCTCACTTTGGCCTCTGAGGTAGATGGTGTTGGGTATTGGGTAGATGTGTGTGGCAAACCGAATTATTTGCAGTTGTTTAAACACTTCGATGTTCTTAGAAACATGATGGCAGCAAAGAGAGATGGAAGCAGCCATTTCTTGCCTCCAAAGCTAGGAAAAGCTGAACAGATCTTTCTCAAAAGAAGGCATACAAACATCTAACAGGTACATGAAGATACACAGCTGAACTAATCATTAAAGCAGCACAAATTAAAACCGTAATGAGGTGTCATTCACACCCGTTAGGATGGCTTTTACCAAAAAGAGGAAAGCTTTCAGCAAAGGTACGGAGAAAAGTAAACCTTCACATGCTTTTGGTAGGAAAGTAAATTAGTGCAGCCCTTATGGGAGGCAGCATGGAAGGTATTCGAAAAACAGAAAAATAAAAACTACTCATAACTCGTGGTATATATTCCAAAAAAGTGAGACTGATATGTCAAGGGATATCTTCTCTCCTATGTACACTGGAGCACTATTCGCAGTAGCCAAGAAGTAGACACAATCTAAGAGTTCGTCAACTAATGGATGGGTGAAGCATGTGACAGATACACAATGAAATATTAGCCCTAAAAAGTGGTGGGGAGAATTCTGTCATTTGAAATAGTATAGATAAGTCTGGAGAACATTGTGATCAATAAAATAAGGCCAGCAGAGGAGAGCAAATACCACATGATCTCACATATGTGTGGAATCTGAATAAAGTCGTTCTCGCAGAAGTAGGGAGTAGGACAATGATATCCAGAGGTTGGGCATTGGGCAGGGAGGGGAGGGAGCTCTGTTGAACAAAGAGCATGATGTTTCAGATCAAAAAGGAGATTGGTTCTTACATTCTTTGTACAGCAGGCTACCATGAAAGTATATGTTTTAAGATAACCAATAAAGTGAATTTCAAATGCCTCAACATTAAACATGACGAGTAAGCAGAGGACAGAATTTAAGTAGTTTAATTTAGTCATGCTACATTGCATACATATATAGAAATATCACATTGTATTCTATAAATATATACAATTGTGATTTTTCTTCTTTTGATTTTTAAACAGTTTTGGTTTTTCAATAAAGTATTATTATTGATTTTTAATTGAAATAAAAGTTAGACTACCCTCAAGTCAAAGTCTCACAAGAAGATGACTTGGGTTTTATTAAGGAATTTTAAAAGTTGCTTGGACCGCAGACAACACTCTTGAAATAAGAGGGTAAGCAGAGGAGACTGCTTCAAAGATGGAAATGCTTAGTAGTTTTCAGATATGATTTTTTTGGGGGGTGGAAGATCATTATTTACCTCACTGCTGAGGAGGCAGCTGGGAGAAGAGATGAATAGAAGTGATCCCTGGTTGTAAGTTTGATGAGACTCCTGAGGAAAGAGTATAGTCTGGGAAGGGGTCTCCTGGTGTTGCACACAGGGCTCAGGACTAGTGACCGACACTCATATTCAGGAAGTCATGCTTGAGTACTGAGCTTGTAGCCGATGTCTACTGTTCAGCCCTGATGGACCAGTCACCAGACCAAGGTGGGGGTGGATTGCATTTCACAAGGATGCTCATATTTGTGTTTGTCATGAGCTATGGGGGGGGTGCACTTTTTCAGATGATCCGTACAGAGGGCCATGGTGACACCTATGTAGTTGAGAGCTCAGTGAGGAGTCCCTGAGATGCCATAGATGACCATCCTGGCCATCTATGAATGAGTGAATGAATATTCAATATCCACAAAGGAGAAGTGAGTAGGGATTTTAACTTGAATCTGTTACTGAAATGCTTTTCAGAAGCTCAATGACTGGACGGAACCAGGGTTCTGTATTATAAAATTAAAACCTGAGCCTCTTCACACACCATGCTCCCTTGTCTCTATGTTGGGAAAGCTGTGACTAGGTTTGGGGAGCTGTGTGTGGGTTGATGTGATTGCACAACTCAGATGAGTGAAAGGACACTTCCTCCAGTGTGACGCACTGGTCTCTCCTTGTTTGGGGTTTCACTCCGACCGGGGACAAGGTGCAAAAAGGTCTGCATGAGAAGCCAGGAAATGACAAACACTTTCTCACCCACATCCAGCCTCCCCACTCATGAATTCTGGTCCTCCAAAATTTTCCAGGCAAGGTCAAGGAGGCAGAGAGGACCACCCACCATAAACAGGGCTGTCATGAAGATTCTTTTGGGGGGGGGTTGAGACAGGGTCTCACTAAGTAGTTGAGTCTGACCTGGAACTCACTATGTAGCCCAGGCTGGTCTCGAGCTCCCAGCAATCCTCCTGCCTTAGCCTCCCGAGTGCTGGGATTACAGGTGTGTGCCACCACGCCCGGTCCTGTCATGAAGATTCTCGAAGCAGACACCTGCATATAGCACACTCAGCTGTGCATCCGCTGCTGTCATCCATTAAAGGAGAGTGTGCCTCTGCTGATGGATGGGAAGCACACTGTCTGGCTAACTGCCCCCACCCCGGGTCACAGGAACTCAAGGTTGACGCACTCAGCATCAGCC